AATGGATTCACTAAATAACTGGGGAGACAACTAGATACCTTTATCCTAACTAGATACCTTTATCACCAAGTGAAACTTCTAGTGACAATAATGAGTTACATCTAATTGAGTTGTTGGCCAAAGGAGCCTGGTGGAAAGCCCCAAACAACTCAGACTGTTGCAAAAGCTATTAGTTGCTCTCCAAAGCTTGATGGTAAGTCCCTAGTGCTGAAGATAACACATATATCTCATTGAACATGGAGAAGTAGAGCTAGTGCCTAACTAGAGCTTTCATCCTTACTAACTAGAGTTCATGGTCCAAGAAGGTACTGTGCATGCTATCAGAGAAGAAAGGTACTGCCAACTCAGCTACAAACCCTTGGTCTACAACAGTGACTGCCTGCATGATATGCTGGTGCAATGGAGGCACGAATATTGTGGGAATAAATAAACACTTCATAAAAAGGAACCTAAGCCTGACACTGCTCTGGTGTCCAAGTACCTGAGAATAGATAGGTCACAGGTCTAGGGAGAAACCAGATACTATTGTTCTGTTAAAGGAACATAGCAATAAAATGACTCCTGCGATGTTCTGCTAACATACACACACACACACACACACACACACACACACACACACACACACACACTGTGAGGGGGGTATATATATGAGTGTCTCCTCAGACATCATTAGAGAAGCTTCCTCTTGCTGTAGATGAAAACTAATACAGAGACCCACAACTAGTCACTGTGAGAGACTTTGGAACATTTAGTCATAAATGGGAAGTCCTCATCAAACCCCTCCTCTCAAAGGCTCATGAAGCTATGAGGAAGAGGATGCAAAAGATTGTAAGAGCCAGAGACCACAGAACTCACAATTACACACATATGAACTCACAGTGACTGTGACAGCATGTATACAGCCTACACTGGTCAGAGAAGTGATGGAGGAGGCAGAAATGAGCTCCCATCCCTAACCAAGAAGCAATCTTCAGTTGAAAACTACTTGCAAAGGAAAATTCATTTTCTTCAGTGGAGCCTTGCTGGGTATATAAATTATACTCAGAAGTGGGCTCTATGCCTAGCCTTAGAGAGCTAACACAAAACAAACTCAATGGTGTTTCTGTCTCTCTTTTTTTTTTGCCTTAGAATGTTTTTTCTTTGGGCATTTTTATCTTACTGGTCTTTTGCTTGTATGTTATGGTTATAATTTTATGTTTTGTGGGTTTTCTGTGTGTTTCTTGTATTTTTCATTTTTTTAAAAAAGTTTTAATTCTGATTTATTTGTTTTATTTGCATGTTTGTTTTCTAAAGAGAGAGAGAGCTGGGTGGTATTGGTGCACACCTTTAATCCCAACACTTGGGAGACAGAGACAGGCAGATCTCTGTGAGTTTGAGGCCAGCCTGGTCTACAGAGCAAGTTCCAGGGAAGGCAGGGCTGCAGAGAGAAACTCTGCCTTGAAATCCAAAAGAAAAAGAGAGAGGGGGAGAAGGAGAGAGAAAGAAAGAGAGAGGGAGAGAGGTAGAGGGAGAGACAGAGACAGAGAGGGACAGAAAGACAGAGAGAGAGAGAGAGAGAGAGAGAGAGAGAGAGAGAAAGTAGTTGGGTTGAGGGAAGTGGAGGTGAGGAGATTTTGGAGGAAATGTGTGAGGGAAACCATGATCAGGATATATTGTATAAGTTTTAAATTAAGAAAAGAAAGATATGGATATAATTTAATTCTTTTAAGTGTGACATCCAGTTTTATTGGGACCATTTGTTGTGGATGTTGTCTTTTCTCCAGTGTGTATTTTTGGCATTTCTGCCAAATGAGATGGTTGTAAATACATAAACTCATGCTTGGGTCTTGCAGCTTGTTCCATTGATTTACGTGTCTTTTTTTTTTGTCCTGGGACTGTGGTAGTTCGAATGTAATTGGTCCTCATAATTTCATAGTGAATGGCACTATTACAAAGTGTGGCTTTGTTGGAGTGGGCATGGCCTTGTTAGAGGAAGTGTGTCACTGTGGGGGTGGGCTTTGAGGTTTTCTATGCTTAGGATAATGCTCAGTGTCTCAGACCATTTCCTGTTACTTGCAAAATGTAGGACTCTGTTACTTTGCCAGCATCACGTCTGCCTGCACGCACTATGCTCCCAGCCATGATGACAATGAGCTAAACCTCTGAACTATAAGCTACCCCAACTAAATGTTTCCTTTATAACAGTTGCCATGGTCATGGTGTCTCTTCACAGCAATAGAAACCCTAAGACAGGGACCATGTCATTTTTATTATTATAGCTCTGTGATGTAGCATGAAATCTGAGAAAAGAATCCCCATGGCATTCTTTTTTGCTCAGAATTGTTTTGGTTACCTGGGTTTTTTTCTGGTTTCAAGTGAATTTTAGGATTTTCGTTATATTTTTGTGAAGAATGTCATGGGAATTTTGATTGGGATTGCATTGAATCTGAATTTGCATTTGAATTCTACCAAATTACTTTTGGTAGAATGGTCATTTAAACAATATTAATTCTAGCAATCCACGAACATGGAGGTTTCTTCCACCTTCTAGGGACTTCCCCAATCTCTTGTTTTCCGGAGATTTAAAGTTTTCATTGTAGATGTCATTCACCTCCAAAGTACAAATTCTTAACTGTTGGACTGTGCAAGTTGTGAAGTCCTAGCCATGTGGTTTGGGCTTAGGAGCAATACTGTAGTTAATAGGTTAATTAAATGCCTATCTGTTATAATTTAAAGGTAGTAGATGGATACTTGTTTAAAACAAGCAAACGATGGCTGAAACACCACTCAAATTTCCAGAAGTTCTTACGATTTTTCAGATGAGCACCTTAGGATTTGTGGAAATACTTTCTCCTAGAGAAAGAAACACTGTGCATTAAACAAGCACTGAATGCCAGGTGACTGTTCTTCCTGTTTGCTGAACACCATCCAGGAGAGCCTGTGTCCTAGGGTGTACTTGCATTCTCTCTGCTCTTTTCTTTCTGGAGCTCAAAACTCACTCTTTATGATTTTGACATTCTCTCCCCGCAGCTACACTGTGTTGTGGGCAACCTCAGCAGAGGCTTATTTTCTTTTATACTAGACAACTGATCTTTCCTCAGCCTGCGTATTTCACCCAGTGTTCATACCATTTTTTTCCCCATTGCCATGGCTGGGAAACTCAATTAAGCTGTATTTTCCCCACAAACTTCTCTCTCTATGACCACCCAATGAAGTCCTATGGTTTCTACCTTTGGAATGCCCCTCTTTCCACTCTCTTGGTTTAACCTTGTCCTAGTCATCATTGCATTGCTGACATTGTCCACCATTCTTGTCCCCACCACTGGGTTGAGCTGGCAGCTTATACTGACAGCACCTGTCAGATCTTTTAGTCTCTCCCCATCTCTACCATGCCCTCTACACACCGATATGGCTCCAACCTCACCCTGCCATGAACATGATCTGACATGTACCTACAGCAGGGTACTTACCTACCCACCAACACTTCCAACCAGATGTCCATTCCCACACAATCCCGGACCTTCCCAACCCTCTTGGAACCCCAAAACTTAGTTCCTTCAAAGTGTTTTTCTTCCTTGATTTTTTTATCTTCGGGACTTCCCATCAGAGGCACACTTTCATCAGAACCTTTGTGGGTTTCTCTATACAGATCTGTACCAGAGTGAAGAGTAGGCTTAAGACAGAACCTTAAGCCTGCATCTAAATCATTTACTTACTTAGCCTCTCTAAGACGAGAATAGAATTCAAGGATTGATGGTGTTCTAGAACAATAGAAATTGAGCTGACTAGGAAGCCAGCCAGACATGTTTGAATTTCACATCTGGCTATTGTCAACTCTTTGTGCCTAGTAAAATTATTTGCTTTTGTAATTTTATTTTCCTTATCTGCTAGAAATAGACATCTCCTCTGAAAGGCTGATACAGTATTAGAATTCACAAGTCTGAAATAATTCATTACTGGGTCTTTTAATGGTGTTTCCTGTTCTTCAGAGCATCGAACCACTTGCTATGATCATCTTAGCATCCTTTGTCCCTTTAAGAACTTGAAGACTTTCATGTGTTTTAAGGTCATCTTCTCTCACAGCTAAGTTGCAAGCACTATGACCAGGAAGTATTCCTACCATATCTTTCTTACAGAATCCAGCACCATGTCCAACACAGAGAAACTGTTCAGAAAATAGTGGGTTTAGTTAAAGAAAACAAGAGTCTCTGGAAAGCATGCAACAAAGAAATGCTGTCCTTTAAAGCCTTGCCAGGGGAGTCCCCAGAAGCTAGCATGGCAACAGAGCAGGTTCCTAATGGATACAGCTTAGTAGATGATCAAGTATTTTCAGAATGTGCCAACTTCATAATAGGCCTGCAGGGGGTGAAGATCTCTGTGTTGCATATATTCTGATGTTCTCAAAAGGACTGAGCCTCCATGTTCAAATTCAACTTCATCTTCTGCCCCTCACTATACCCCAGAGCCCAAATCACTCATCCATGAGGTCAAATAAGAACAATATTACTAACTCCCCATGGTTCTTGAGTTTAACTCTCTGAGATGCTAAAATAGCTTCATGGTTTCATATTTATGCTGAAGAGAGAGGAGGAGAAGGCTTTCTAATTCCATAGAAAGCCCCTCCATGTGGCACCATCTTTTGGTTATAGGAAACCCCCCTCAAGTCCCTGATCTCCTGTGGGCTGTTGATGCAGATACAAATTCCTGGAAGCAACACTCTAAATCCTATGTTATAACCACCTGCATTTAAGTCCCTGGGGGCTGGAGGGAGACCACCATGGGTCAGTGGCTACACTCCATGCAGTGCCTAATGCAAGCTGGTAAATGTCACAGCAGCTATGGCAAGTGAAGGGAGGAAGGAAGTCTCAAATCCAGGCCTGTCGGACTCCAAAACTCCTTCTTTCCCTCCTTGAGGGCTTGTTGACTCAAGAGAAAATTTCTTGTGAAGCCTGTGGTTTAATTCTAGCCTTTGGAGGAGAAATGAATTAATAAATTAAGACAAAAAACATCTTATGTCCAGAATGACCAAAATCAAGCCAAAGAAGGATCTAAGTCTCCTGATGGACTTCCTCCTCTTCCTTCTGCTATTCCTCTCAGTGGATAGCACCCACACTCTGCCCTTTTATCTCCTGAAAAAGAGGGATGGCGAAAAGAAAGGACTAAAGCTGCCCTTGCATCCATCCCTCAGGCACCATGTTTTAGAAAAAGAGAAGAAATGGTCGGTGAAGGATTTTACTTTCCAAGTGAGGCTTGAATGGCATTGCAGAAAGTAATGCTAAGGGAACTGCAACGAGGCTTCTGAAAGCATCACACACACTGAGATGCATCGTGCTTTAGAGCAGGGACTTTACTCTTACAAGGAAATGCTTGTGGGTGCCAGCATGCAGGGTAAAGTGAACATTCAAGGTCCACCCCTTCTAAGAGTCTATGAGGATTCAAAGATAAGATTGGGGAGATGGTTCAGTTGGTAAAGTAACTGCCATGTAAGCATAAGGACATGGGTTCAGATCTTCGGCACTCACATAAAAGCTGGGAAAGTTGGCAAACATCTGTAACCCCAGGGTTGCAAGAACAAAGACAAGTTGATCCCTGGAACTCATTGGTCAGCTAGCCTAGCCAATCAATAACATACAGATTGGATATGAGACCCTGTCTCAGAAAGTAAGTGAAGAGCAATCAAGAAAGACACCCAGTACAGATATCTGGCAGCCACATGCATATGTGGCCACATTTGCATATCTACACATGAACATGCATACATGCCATACACAGCAAGAGACACAGAAGAGTCCAGGGTAGAAAATGTGTCTTCTGCTCAATCAATAGACCTGTAATTTTGTATGGTTCTGTTGCCTTCAGGGGCAAAGATAATGTGTGACACTAACTTGAAGAATTTGAGGAGCTTAAGTTTTTTGCTGCAGCATCTGGTACATTGTTACAGGGTTATTCTAGAAGAAAGGACCAGGATAGAAGAAATGGGGGGGGCTCTGCTGCTTATTAGGGTTTCTCAAAATAGAATATTAGAATTGGATACAGCACATGATGCTCATACAGGGACCTGAGTCCTCTGTGACCTCTGTGACCTGTGACCTCTCAGAGGCCACACAGCAAATAGCAAGCCCCTGTAAGGTCCAGTTTCAGGGGATCTGACACCCTGTTTTGGCCTCTGTAGACACTGAATGTATGTGATGAACAGACACACATGCAGGCAAAACACCCATACACATGAAAAAAAAAAAAAAGAAATCTAAAACCTAAAAGAATTGGCTTCGATCTTGATGATTTAGTGAATTCGGCTCTCCTTACTTACTATTCAGGAAAAGTGACTGAGGGTCAGAGATGTGGAGGCACATGTGAAATAACCTTTCTGGTGTTTATATTTCAAAATTATCTCCCCAATATAAGTATAAATACATGTTAACTTAAAAATTCTTACCCATTTCTTGCCAACCTGAGAAGAGAAATGAATCAATGTATATACCTTCAATTTGAGCCCTTTAAAAGTAATTTGTGATACTGGTGGTGGTGGTGGTGGTGGTGGATCACGCCTTCAATCCCAGCACTCAGGAGGCAGAGGCAGGCTGATCTCCCTGAGTTTGAAGCCAGTCTGTTCTAGGGATCTAGTTCCAGGGCGACTCAGAGAAATCCAGTCTCAAAAACAAAGAAACAAGCAAACAGATAGATAGATAGATAGATAGATAGATAGATAGATAGATAAAGTACTTTGTGAGCAGAGGAATAAAGTAATTTGATTTAGAACAGTCTCCTGGTGTGGTATCCCACAACTGTAGTAGGAAACTCAGGACTTCATTTTTAAAATTCCTCACAGAAAGTAGACTGTGTTTTTAAATGACTTTAAAATTTCCTCCAAGCCCCCTTGGAATCCAAAACTCCCTTGGAATGAAGGAAATTCAAACTAGTAACTCACTGCATTTTAAAAGTTTGGAGAAATTGGATTTGAAGTGAGTTTTAAAAAGTCAAAACTAGTAGCTGATACTTACAAAAACTGCAAGGATTATTTATTGTTTTTTTTGTTTGCATTTTTTAGATAAAAGTGTCTTTCTAACAACATTAGGATGACACGAGGGACACCTGTTTCCCTGCCGCATTAGGCTGGTCACTTGTGAACCTCTGCCGTATGTGTGCTTTCTTTCTCTGTTTCTGTCTCTGTCTTACAGCCATTTGAAAATAAGTTACAAAAGTCTCATCACACATCCCACACAACGGATTGGTATTGCTCTTCCTAATCACAAGGACATTCTCCTGTATAACTACAATGCACTCATCATACCCAAGACATTTCATAGCCATGTAAGATAGAATTTAATTCAGAGAGGAATGTCTTGAAAGAGAACTGGGCATTCCCAGTCTGCCTCCAGTTAGCTGTTGGGACATTCAGCTTTCTGTGCCTTCAGCATGCTTGACTTGAATTGATACAGTCTTGGTTCTGTTTCAATGCAAGCCTGTGCTTCTGAGACCCCATTGCTTCATTTCACTACTGGGGTTGAACTTCTCACAGCTTAGGCTCATGGGCTGTGAAGAAACAAATTAAAGCTAGACTTCATGCTGCCTCATCCTTCGTACTCCTTGAACAATGTAATGAGATGCTAACCGAAGACTGGCTTTGGATAAACCTGGTAATCATCAGGGAAATAAGATAATTATTGTTGGTTTCCAAAAATATATGGCTATGTATATTTGCACAGTATATGTGCAAATGTGTTTTTCCTGTAGTGCTGTGTGTCTTTGCCTTGTCTTCCATAGAGCTATGTGTAACTTCAAGGGTTCTAGTTAAAGCATCTAGTTTCCAGTAAATGTCCCATGAGTGCCACTTAGCTCATTGTGTGAAACCAAAGCTGACCAGTCAGAACAGGCAGAGTGATACCAAGGAAGAAAAAGACTAAATAACCTTAAATGACTGTATTTTAAAATGGCTAAAGCATGCCCCTGGATCACTCATTAAGAGAAAGATACTACTGTTTGTTTTTTTTTTATTTTTATTTTTGTGTGTGTGTCTTTATTTGCCTTGCTTGGTTTAGGTTTGGTTTTCTGAGATATGGTTTATCCTTCTACCCAGGGCTGATCTGGAACACAGTGGGTAGACCAGGTCTATACGCTGAGCTTTCTACTAAATGAGGCCCAAGTTCTGGGGTTACAGATATGTGCCAAAGGTGTAGTTTTTAAAATGTAACAAAATTGTCAAAGGCCCAGAGAACTAACTCGTATTTGCCTTAGTGAACATTCCTGGAACTCTCCTGTCTTTGGCTTCACCAAGAAGATAGCCATTTTTGTATTTTGCATGGATATGGTTTCAGGAATGGCCACTTAATATTGGATGAGCAGTTATGGACTCAGTAGGTTATATTTACATATCTGTACTTCTGTCTATGGAGGTGTGTAACAATAATAAGCAAAGAAGCCATTAATTTGAGAGGGAGTGTGGAGGGGGTCTGAGAAGGGTTAGAAGGAGGGGACCCAGGAGGAGCTGAAGGGCAAGAAAGGGAAGGAAGAAGTGATAAAATCATGTTTTAATTGAAAATATATTTTAAAAAGATGCTAGCCATGGTTAATTGGATGTGAATCCTATCCTGTCTTAAAGAGCAGCGATACTCAATGTTGGTTGAGAAGTACTGGAGAAGGGACACACAGTCAGTGGCAATGCTTGTGAATCAACTTGCTCAGTTCTAGTTGTGTAAACATAAACAGTGATGTAGAGATGAGAATACACGTTCTGATGAAAATAGAACATGTTTCACCCTGAAACTTAAAACTGTGAAGTGTTTGTAATTCCCCAAATTGAATGCTATCCTGCCAAAAGAAGTGAATAATTTATTTCTGTGTGTGCAAGATGACTAATGAAAACAAGAACAAGACCAAACTGAATGCTGCATGTCATTTTGATATATGGTGACCAACGTGAGGATTTCATTTAGGCTTAGCAGTTGTTCATCGGTGTCTCCACGTTTCCTACAAAGATAAAAAGCCCAAGTGAGACGCCAGGCATCCTCTGTAGGAATACCATCACGGTCAAGGGTATTTTATGATGGCCAAAGGGAAACACTCCATTTTGAAGTTGGAGAACTGGAGACTTCTGTTATTTTACAAACTTTGCTATAAAATAAATGAAAGCATCACAGACCAAAATTAATCAGACCTAAAGTCAATGCAACTCAATGTACATCTTCTATGCAGTTTGAGCAGACATTTGAAACAGAAGCTGTGGCTTTTAAATGAAATGACTCCGTTAAACATGCAAACCCTAGATAGTTTTATTTAGTCTCCATAGTGAAATGCACACTGAGCACAGGAGGAATGGGTTTATGAGACTCTCTTGGCACATATGAATAGTCAATATCCTTTTTGTTCTGGATGGAAAATGTCATAATGATATATCCAACTGTATAATTGCCTACATTAATGTATTTGTCTCAAACCTCACATTTGAATTTCCATATCCTTGTGTGGTCCTGGGAATAAAAGTCCTAAGAAAGCCTTACATGGGAAGTCCCCTTTTTTCCCATCCTGTCACAGCCAACAAGTAAATCTCTCTGACAGTCTTTGCTTTGAAAGGTAACCTTTTGTTTTATATATTTTCTTAAAAATGATGAGATATGGTTTGTTTTTGATGAAGAGTTTCAGAAAAGCATTTTAGTAGAAAGAACACTGAAATTAAGATACACTTGTTTTTAGTAAACTTATAATTGTTATAATGAAGGAACTGCCTTTGCAAAGATGACAATAACCTTTTTTTGAGGTTTCAGGGAAAACACACCAGTGCTTTCCTATTCTTCCCTCTACTGAATTTTTACAACAGAACAAGACACCGAGATCACAGAACAAACCCACAGTGGAGGTCATCTTATCTTCTTGATTATTGAAGTCCTCCTCTGTGGAGGTCACATTTTAATGAGCATTTGTAAGGGACACAAGTATCTACACTACCTTTGCCTATTTGGAGAAACCTATCTATATGTTTGTTCCCTGAGTGTCTTTCTCACCAATTTTCCAATCATGCTTTTTCTGAGTCCTCAACCATTCAGCCAAATGAATCATGGATCAATATATAATTACACTTGTTGGCTATTTTGCCTTCCAAGAAAAGTACAAGACGATGCTCACTGCCTGAAGTTTGGCCCACTGCAAAAGCTTCCTTTCACCAATCTACTTCAGACTTGTCCCAAGAAGGAACCATAATGTTGCAGCTGTCTACTTCTGGGTGGTGCCTATGTACTGTGGAGAACCA